GGGCTGAAGTTTTGGTTACATATTCCCACTCCATGTTTCATCCTCCCGTTTCAAAATCTTCGCTCATACGCGTCTAGACCCCGCGTACGGCCCCCCTGGAAAAACATGCAGATTTTTCTGGCGGAAAACGATTTCGTGAACCAGACAAGTTAGAAAATTGAAAATTTGCAGAGATATTCTCTGTGCATGTGCTAACTAGAGATTTCAAATTCAGCTGTTGCGCGTTTATACCACGCGTATGGTCACGTCAATTTTCGCATTTGACACTGTACTAACTCGAAAACTAACCAGAAAACAATAGCTGAAATTTTTTCAGATTACCGTTCATACAGAAAATCGTATGTCTAAACTGCGTTCTGATTTACACCTCACCACCACTTAGGGCACGTTAAAAATTTTTCTTGCAAAGTGGATATTTCGCTTACTGTGCAAGCTGCGAAGTTTAAAATTTGCAAGTATATTCTACATTTACATTTGGTCTTAATTTAGCTTGGAGGTGAAATTCCTTGAACGCAGACATGACAAATACTCAGTATTATCTCAAACTCAAAAGCGAGTGCGTTTTGCATATTTCATAATCTTCGGGCTTTCTTCAAATCTACATGTTTTCACTGAACGACCATTCACCGGAAAAATGACCGGGCTTTATGTAAAAAACATAATCATACACTTGGAGGTTCATGCGGCCCTATAATTCAGTACCTTCATCGCAACCGACGCCCTTTCTCCTGCATGCCGGTAGAGGTCAAACACGGCCAGTATGAGTCCAAGTGTTAGGCTACAGCGCAGAGTCATTCCTGTTGTTAGCGATCTGGAGGTTTGACGCAAAAACACATGACCACACCGGCAAACCTGGTGCGTTCCAGCCTGGGTTTTTTCCTGCAGACAGCCCTGAACAAAAACTTCTAAAGTAATTGAAAGACGTTGCCAGTCTATCCATTTTATCAGCTTACTATTCTTCTGGAGATCTGCCGTGAGCAGGATCTTTGGAAAAAAGAACCTGGTGTTCAGAATATGTACACTTTTTTCCAATGTGATAGTCAACAGGGTTTTTTTCGAATGTTGTGCAGAACACATTTCTGGTTTTTTTCTTTTTTTTTTTTTTTTTACGTTTTCCATTTTCTCTGTTGTCATTCATTCGGTTTAATTAACAAAAAACTTTGCAGCTGGCAGGAGTCGACGATACCTAAGAACTGTTTGATTTATCACGTTGCTTTAACTCAGCTACATTCTGGGCACGCACAGACTGCCTTCCAACTCTTTCTTGTCATCCTACGCCTTTATCCAAAACAGCCGAGAATCTGGTTGCGGATAGCCGAATGCTGCATCCAGGCTTTAACAAAAGTTTGTCTTTTTATTTTACATATATCTTCGAATTTCCGCGCACACTCGAATAGTAAAACACTGTACTGTATTCATTTTCTCATAGTTGACAAGTCGTTTGATTATCTGGTGAATTTCGTTTTTCCTAACTTGTGAGCAAAGAATTCTTGTATAATGCGGTGGCGGTATAAGGAATTGTATAGTGCCTGGCAGTATAACTATGCTAACATAATGTGCTAATATATTTTTCCTGCCTGAAGCTTCAAGATGATCTATTCAGAAGGAGATCTTAAGCACTGGATCAGAGAGTGTGAAGTTGAACCGGAGAGGCGGGGTAGTGGCGTAGATTTTTAACATATGAAGAGTGTTCGGGAATGTTAAGCTACATCAGAAAGCGGATAAAAGAGCTTATTTATAAAAACATGGAGCAGCAGAACTGAAGTTCTCTTTTTTCGCAGGAGCAACAGGACAATAACAAACATTTGCTTGTATGTGAATATGAGTTTGGTTGCAGCTTCAGTGTCTTACAATATACGAAGACTTTTTTGAATAGTACTCAACACTAAATACAACTGGGATTTCAACAGCGAGCATTCTGCCGAACATGTTGTGCTAGTTCATTATATTTGGTAGGACTGCGTTAA